AGCACCAATAATGGAGTGCCATTCCTCCCATTGACACCAATTACGAAGAACCATGCCTTCCACTGACACCAATGATGGGCACCATTCTTTCCTTGGACACCAGTGATGGAGAGCCATTGCTTCCACAGACATTAATGATGAAGAACCTTTCCTCCTCCAGATACCAATGACGGGGCACTATTCCTCCCACTCAGACTAACAATGGGGCACTATTCCTCCCACTGACACCAATGTTGGGACATTGTTTGCTCCTACTGACACTGGGGCATTTTCTTTTTCCAAGGGTCACAATCTGGCACCTCTAAACCCTAAAGGACAGTAAACTGGCCCTTTGTTTAGGAACTTCGGAGACACCTGAACCAATGTAACCACTAGGGATGCGATTTGGGTTTGAATGTGGGTTTTGAGGATCCCCTTAAAAAAGGGGTCTTCCAGATTCCACCAAGAGTTCCCCCCAAAAATTCCCAAATCCTTTTTGGGTGACTAGCTATGGGGAAGAAGCCTGGTCATTTGAAATTGGGGCAAGGTGCCTTGGAGAAGGGGGGAGGCTCTACCTGCCTATCTATTAAGATACCCCTGGGGCCCCATTTACACTCCATGTGGCATGAACATGCATTTTTGGAGCATTTTCAAGTGAGACACATAGGGCAGCCTATTCATTTGAACACACTTATGGCTCATGTACACTGCAGCTGATAAACTCATGTTTAGGAGCTGGTCAGCATTTTTTTCAGAAGCCCCTGAACTCTCCCTAATGTTTTCCTATGTGTCCATGTACACATCTTCATTTACAGTCGTTTACAGGCATTTGAGTTTACAGTCGTTTTTTTTTTTTAACGCAACAAACTTGCGTTCAGACGTCGATTTTATCAGCGTCTCAAATGCAAAATGCTTGTAAACGTGGCTAAACGTGGCAAATCGCATTTATAAGCGTCTGCGTTTGAAATTTTTTTTAACTCTTCCAGTTCCCGATGCTGTCCAGAGCCTTTTTTCATCATGAAAAATGCACGCAAAGAGTTTTCAAGGTACTCAAATGGACAAAACACTGAACACAGGATGTTCCCACCAAGCTTGTCACACATTGTAATGACCAATTCATACCTCAGACCTCTCCCACCCTTGGAAACAAAAGATATGTTAATGACCATTCACACCTCAGACCTCTCCCACCCTTGGATACAAAAGATATGTTAATGAGTATTCACACCTCAAATTCCTCATGAAGACCCCCTGCCAGGTGGCCTTAATGACTTACTCCACCAGACACCTCTCCCACCCTTGGAAACAAAAGACATGTTAATGAGCAACTCACACCTAAGCTAATCTCAACACATACTACTGTCTCTGCTTCTACTCTCTGTATTTCTCTGAAACAGTCTGAAATAGTTAATAATTTACCACTTTTCAGTGCATTCTGGGCATTTGGGGGGTTCTCCTGTGCTTATCTTTAAAAAAAGGCTTCTAAACGCAAATGCACATAAACGCATTATGCAAACGCGGCTAAACAGACGTTTTTTTAACCTACGTTTTCCAGCAGTCAGTTTCCATCGTTCAGAAACGTCCCATGTACATGGGGCCTTACAGGTCTTGACTCTCCCCCTGGACAGTGAAAGGAGAAGCAACAGACTGATCATCCCTCAGTCATCCTGCTCTCTCCTCCTATTGGCTTGGTTAGCTCGTTGTACTGCTTTTCCTTCTCCAACTCTAAGCTCTGCTGTACAGGGTCTGCAAGGCACTGACACCAGATCAAATCCAGATATATATACTGCTTTCATTTAAAAAATATATTTATTGATGTCTTAAAGTGGCTGTAAGCTCTTACATATACCCACTGAAAGGCTCAGGTGATACACAGAGATAAAAAAAAAAATCTCCTACATAGGTTGTACCTGTTTATCTGCCACACTCTCCCCCTCCAGCCTCCTAAAGCACACATTTTACACAGAATTTCTGAGCTCAAGCAGGTAGGGGACGGGAATCTGATGTAACATATTGCAGAGCACAGAGCAGGGAACTGACCCACCTCTACACTGTCTCATATGGAAACATGCACAGCTGAGGCTGTCAATCAACTTATGTATGCTGGAGAGGGGCAGGGCTGTCTCCCAGGATTCTGTGGTGTCCAGGGGCGGACTGACCATTTGGAAACTTGGGCACTGCCCGAGGGCCCGGGGTCAGTAGGGGGCCCCATGAGATGCCCCTGGTACCTTTTTCATAGGCTTTTTTGAGCTTGGGCAAGGACACAAGGGCCCATGATCCCCTATTGCCCGGGGGCCCCATGAGTTGTCAGTCCGCCCCTGGTGGTGTCAGCATATTATTATTATACAGGATTTATATAGTGCCAACAGTTTGCTCAGCATTTTACAATATAACGGGAGACAATACAGCAACAATACAGTTCAATACAAAGAGGGATTTGAGGGCCCTGATCCTGGGAGCTTACAATCTAGGAGGGAGGGGAGCATAGACTGTCACAAGTAACTTATGCAGATAGTAAAGGGAAGAGGGAGCAGGCAGGAACCAGACTAGGTGCTTTGGATTGAGGCAAGTACACACTATAGAAGGATGTGCTTTGTTCATTTTCATTTATGAGGTTTATAACCACTTTAGTCTATATATTTTGGACAGAATGGGGTTAAACCAGCAAAAAACAAAGAGATCTAGATGTAGAGACATTGATATAAATCGGTGGAACAAATATTTTATGTACAAATAAGTCCAGGCCATAAAAGGGGAGTGAAATAAGCACCATTTGATTGCGGCATTTCATCCCTTTATCTCTTATCTGTCGAGAACCAGTTGTGTGTTTTTTTTCTGTTGTTTTTACACCATTGTAGCTTTTCCCTCTTCAGTCGCTCTGAGTAGTTAATGACTTGTTGGTTAATGTTAGCATAGAAAATCACATCAACAACTCCCCTGAGGTCGGAATACATAATGCAGTTATTAAATGCTGGAACGGAGATAAATTTCCTTTGCCTAGCCTTGAAAATCACTAAGCTCATAGAGACGTTGCTTCATGCAGTCCGTATTATGGAGTGGTAAGGCTGAACGACGTCTCTTTTTCATTTGAAGACTTCGCGTTGGATGGTTTGTACATGAACAAAACAGAGCAAAGCGACAAGTCATTATTCCATCACACAAATGACATTTATTTGGAATGCAGAAAATGGGGGAAAAAAAAAATAAACATTGTGTTGTCTTTGTTCTTTGATCAGACCAGACGTAGATGGGTGGTATAGCAAAATACAAAGTAATAATACGGTATATACAAAGATATAAGGGTGATGCATATGTTCAACATTAGCCATGTGAATACCTAGTGGGGAAGGCAGGGGCGGACTGACAACTCATGGGGCCCCCGGGCAATAGGGGATCATGGGGCCCCTGTGTCCTTTCCCAAACTCAAAAAAACCTATGAAAAGGTACCAGGGGGCATCTCATGGGGCCCCCTACTGACCCCGGGCCCTCGGGCTGTGCCCGAGTTTCCAAATGGTCAGTCCGCCCCTGGACACCACAGAATCCTTTGTGACAGCCCTGCCCCTCTCCAGCATACATAAGTTGATTGACAGCCTCAGCTGTGCATGTTTCCCTATGAGACAGTGTAGAGGTGGGTCAGTTCCCTGCTCTGTGCTCTGCAATATGTTACATCAGATTCCCGTCCCCTACCTGCTTGAGCTCAGAAATTCTGTGTAAAAATGTGTGCTTTAGGAGGCTGGAGGGGAGAGTGTGGCAGATAAACAGGTACAACCTATGTAGGAGATTTTTTTTTTTAATCTTTGTGTATCACCTGAGCCTTTCAGTGGGTATATGTAAGAGCTTACAGTCACTTTAGGTCAGGTAGGTAGGTAGGTAGGTCAGGCTGGTCTATTCTTATGTACTCTGTCCAAAATGAAAACGACAACAATGAGATTCCAAATGGTTATAAAATAGAGATGAGCGAAGTATTCAAAAATTCGATTCGACTGATTCGGCAAATTCGTGGAAAAATTTCGATTCGAGTCAAATATATTCGCTGTGAATTTAACTTAAAAAAGGGTGTTTCTAGGCTTCAGAGAGACTTAATATTAGTGCAGAACACTGTACCTTTAATTTAAATGCCCTTGGAGTCTGCTGGGGAAGAGAAATAATACTGTCAGTCAGTATGACATGCAGATGAGTGCCGTCGATCTTAGAATCACCGCACACTTCACTCATTTGGGCAGTCACGGGGCCAAAACCAGAGTGTGGAGCCACAGTGTGGCGGTGGAGGCAGCAGCAATGGGAGGCCATACAGCACCCTATGACAAAAATGGAAACCACCAGCAGTGTGAGGAGACCTGAAAGTGGCACATGGCAGAGTGTGGCGATAGAGACAGCAGCAATGGGAGGCCGTACAGGGACCCATGACACACTCTGGACCTGGCCAGCAGCATGAGGAGGCGGTACAGGGGCCCATGACAGATTACGGGCCTGGCAGCAGCATGAGGAGTCGGTACATCGGGGGCCCATGGCAGATTACGGGCCTGGCATCAGCAATGGGAGGCCGTACAGGGGGCCCATGACACACTCTGGACCTGGCAGCAGCATGGGGAGGCGGTACAGGGGCCCATGACAGATTACGGGCCTGGCAGCAGCATGAGGAGTCGGTACGGGGGGCCCATGACACACTCTGGACCTGGCAGTAGCATGAGGAGGCGGTTACAGGGGCGCATGGCACAGATTACGAGCCTGGCAGCAGCAACTTGGACAGGAGGACGTTCAGTTTCTGCACCGTCTGGTGCGTGCTCGCAAACTGTTGTCTCTTGGAAACGGATTCCAAGAAAGACTGCTGACGGAATCCGTGAAGAGGAGTAGCAGGAGAAGGAGCATCTGAACGAGCGGAATATGCCAACAAGCGACAACAGGGGCCCATGACAGATTACGGGCCTGGCAGCAGCATGAGGAGTCGGTACGGGGGCCCATGGCAGATTAGGGGCCTGGCAGCAGCTATGGGAGGCCCGTAATCTGCCAGCACCCTATGACAAAAAATGGAACCCACCAGCAGTGTGAGGAGACCTGAAAGTGGCACATGGCAGAGTGTGGCGATGGAAACAGCAGCAATGGGAGGCCGTACAGGGACCCATGAGAGACTCTGGACCTGGCAGCAGCATGAGGAGGCGGTATAGGGGCCCATGGCAGATTAGGGGCCTGGCAGCAGCTATGGGAGGCCCGTAATCTGCCAGCACCCTATGACAAAAAATGGAACACACCAGCAGTGTGAGGAGACCTGAAAGTGGCACATGGCAGAGTGTGGCGATGGAGACAGCAGCAGCAATCAAAAAATTCAACACACCAGCAGTGTGAGGAGACCTGAAAGTGGCACATGGCAGAGTGTGGCGATGGAGACAGCAGCAATGGGAGGCCGTACAGGGACCCATGACAGACTCTGGACTTGGCAGCAGCATGAGGAGGCGGTTATAGGGGCCTATGGCAGATTAGGGGCCTGGCAGCAGCTATAGGAGGCCCGTAATCTGCCAGCACCCTATGTCAAAAAATTCAACACACCAGCAGTGTGAGGAGACCTGAAAGTGGCACATGGCAGAGTGTGGCGATGGAGACAGCAGCAATGGGAGGCCGTACAGGGACCCATGACAGACTCTGGACTTGGCAGCAGCAGCATGAGGAGGCGGTATATAGGGGCCTATGGCAGATTAGGGGCCTGGCAGCAGCTATAGGAGGCCCGTAATCTGCCAGCACCCTATGTCAAAAAATTCAACACACCAGCAGTGTGTGAGGAGACCTGAAAGTGGCACATGGCAGAGTGTGGCGATGGAGACAGCAGCAATGGGAGGCCCGTACAGGGACCCATGACAGACTCTGGACTTGGCAGCAGCATGAGGAGGCGGTATATAGGGGCCTATGGCAGATTAGGGGCCTGGCAGCAGCTATAGGAGGCCCGTAATCTGCCAGCACCCTATGTCAAAAAATTCAACACACCAGCAGTGTGTGAGGAGACCTGAAAGTGGCACATGGCAGAGTGTGGCGATGGAGACAGCAGCAATGGGAGGCCGTACAGGGACCCATGACAGACTCTGGACTTGGCAGCAGCATGAGGAGGCGGTATATAGGGGCCCTATGGCAGATTAGGGGCCTGGCAGCAGCTATGGGAGGCCCGTAATCTGCCAGCACCCTATGTCAAAAAATTTCAACACACCAGCAGTGTGTGAGGAGACCTGAAAGTGGCACATGGCAGAGTGTGTGGCGATGGAGACAGCAGCAATGGGAGGCCGTACAGGGACCCATGACAGACTCTGGACTTGGCAGCAGCATGAGGAGGCGGTATATAGGGGCCTATGGCAGATTAGGGGCCTGGCAGCAGCTATAGGAGGCCCGTAATCTGCCAGCACCCTATGTCAAAAAAAATTCAACACACCAGCAGTGTGAGGAGGAGACTGAAAGTGGCACATGGCAGAGTGTGGCGATGGAGACAGCAGCAATGGGAGAGGCGTACAGGGACCCATGAGAGACTCTGGACTTGGCAGCAGCATGAGGAGGCGGTATATAGGGGCCCATGGCAGATTAGGGGCCTGGCAGCAGCTATGGGAGGCCCGTAATCTGCCAGCACCCTATGTCAAAAAATTCAACACACAGCAGTGTGTGAGGAGACCTGAAAGTGGCACATGGCAGAGTGTGTGCGCGATGGAGACAGCAGCAATGGGAGGCCGTACAGGGACCCATGACAGACTCTGGACTTGGCAGCAGCATGAGGAGGAGGCGGTATATAGGGGCCTATGGCAGATTAGGGGCCTGGCAGCAGCTATGGGAGGCCCGTAATCTGCCAGCACCCTATGTCAAAAAAATTCAACACACCAGCAGTGTGTGAGGAGACCTGAAAGTGGCACATGGCAGAGTGTGGCGATGGAGACAGCAGCAATGGGAGGCCGTACAGGGACCCATGAGAGACAGACTCTGGACTTGGCAGCAGCATGAGGAGGCGGTATATAGGGGCCCATGGCAGATTAGGGGCCTGGCAGCAGCTATGGGAGGCCCGTAATCTGCCAGCACCCTATGTCAAAAAATTCAACACACCAGCAGTGTGAGGAGACCTGAAAGTGGCACATGGCAGAGTGTGTGGCGATGGAGACAGCAGCAATGGGAGGCCGTACAGGGACCCATGACAGACTCTGGACTTGCAGCAGCATGAGGAGGCGGTATATAGGGGCCCATGGCAGATTAGGGGCCTGGCAGCAGCTATAGGAGGCCCGTAATCTGCCAGCACCCTATGTCAAAAAATTCAACACACCAGCAGTGTGTGAGGAGACCTGAAAGTGGCACATGGCAGAGTGTGGCGATGGAGACAGCAGCAATGGGAGGCCGTACAGGGACCCATGACAGACTCTGGACTTGGCAGCAGCATGAGGAGGCGGTATATAGGGGCCCATGGCAGATTAGGGGCCTGGCAGCAGCTATGGGAGGCCCGTAATCTGCCAGCACCCTATGTCAAAAAAATTCAACACACCAGCAGTGTGTGAGGAGACCTGAAAGTGGCACATGGCAGAGTGTGGCGATGGAGACAGCAGCAATGGGAGGCCGTACACAGGGACCCATGAGAGACTCTGGACTTGGCAGCAGCATGAGGAGGCGGTATATAGGGGGCCTATGGCAGATTAGGGGCCTGGCAGCAGCTATGGGAGGCCCGTAATCTGCCAGCACCCTATGTCAAAAAAATTCAACACACCAGCAGTGTGTGAGGAGACCTGAAAGTGGCACATGGCAGAGTGTGGCGATGGAGACAGCAGCAATGGGAGGCCGTACAGGGACCCATGACAGACTCTGGACTGGCAGGCAGCAGCAGAGGAGGCGGTATATATAGGGGCCCATGGCAGATTAGGGGCCTGGCAGCAGCTATGGGAGGCCCGTAATCTGCCAGCACCCTATGTCAAAAAATTTCAACACACCAGCAGTGTGTGAGGAGACCTGAAAGTGGCACATGGCAGAGTGTGGCGATGGAGACAGCAGCAATGGGAGGCCGTACAGGGACCCATGACAGACTCTGGACTTGGCAGCAGCATGAGGAGGCGGTATATAGGGGCCCATGGCAGATTAGGGGCCTGGCAGCAGCTATAGGAGGCCCGTAATCTGCCAGCACCCTATGTCAAAAAATTCAACACACCAGCAGTGTGAGGAGACCTGAAAGTGGCACATGGCAGAGTGTGGCGATGGAGACAGCAGCAATGGGAGGCCGTACAGGGACCCATGACAGACTCTGGACTTGGCAGCAGCATGAGGAGGCGGTATATAGGGGCCTATGGCAGATTAGGGGCCTGGCAGCAGCTATGGGAGGCCCGTAATCTGCCAGCACCCTATGTCAAAAAATTCAACACACCAGCAGTGTGTGAGGAGACCTGAAAGTGGCACATGGCAGAGTGTGGCGATGGAGACAGCAGCAATGGGAGGCCGTACAGGGACCCATGAGAGACTCTGGACCTGGCAGCAGCATGAGGAGGCGGTATATAGGGGCCCATGGCAGATTAGGGGCCTGGCAGCAGCTATGGGAGGCCCGTAATCTGCCAGCACCCTATGTCAAAAAATTCAACACACCAGCAGTGTGTGAGGAGACCTGAAAGTGGCACATGGCAGAGTGTGGCGATGGAGACAGCAGCAATGGGAGGCCGTACAGGGACCCATGAGACAGACTCTGGACTTGGCAGCAGCATGAGGAGGCGGTATATAGGGGGGCCTATGGCAGATTAGGGGCCTGGCAGCAGCTATGGGAGGCCCGTAATCTGCCAGCACCCTATGTCAAAAAATTCAACACACCAGCAGTGTGTGGAGAGACCTGAAAGTGGCACATGGCAGAGTGTGGCGATGGAGACAGCAGCAATGGGAGGCCGTACAGGGACCCATGAGAGACTCTGGACTTGGCAGCAGCATGAGGAGGCGGTATATAGGGGCCCATGGCAGATTAGGGGCCTGGCAGCAGCTATGGGAGGCCCGTAATCTGCCAGCACCCTATGTCAAAAAATTCAACACACCAGCAGTGTGTGAGGAGACCTGAAAGTGGCACATGGCAGAGTGTGGCGATGGAGACAGCAGCAATGGGAGGCCGTACAGGGACCCATGAGAGACTCTGGACTTGGCAGCAGCAGCATGAGGAGGCGGTAATAGGGGCCCATGGCAGATTAGGGGCCTGGCAGCAGCTATGGGAGGCCCGTAATCTGCCAGCACCCTATGTCAAAAAAATTCAACACACCAGCAGTGTGTGAGGAGACCTGAAAGTGGCACATGGCAGAGTGTGGCGATGGAGACAGCAGCAATGGGAGGCCGTACAGGGACCCATGAGAGACTCTGGACCTGGCAGCAGCATGAGGAGGCGGTATATAGGGGCCCATGGCAGATTAGGGGCCTGGCAGCTATAGGGAGGCCCGTAATCTGCCAGCACCCTATGTCAAAAAATTCAACACACCAGCAGTGTGTGAGGAGACCTGAAAGTGGCACATGGCAGAGTGTGGCGATGGAGACAGCAGCAATGGGAGGCCGTACAGGGACCCATGACAGACTCTGGACCTGGCAGCAGCATGAGGAGGCGGTATATAGGGGCCCATGGCAGATTAGGGGCCTGGCAGCAGCTATGGGAGGCCCGTAATCTGCCAGCACCCTATGTCAAAAAATTCAACACACCAGCAGTGTGTGAGGAGACCTGAAAGTGGCACATGGCAGAGTGTGGCGATGGAGACAGCAGCAATGGGAGGCCGTACAGGGACCCATGAGAGACTCTGGACTTGGCAGCAGCATGAGGAGGCGGTATATAGGGGCCCATGGCAGATTAGGGGCCTGGCAGCAGCTATAGGAGGCCCGTAATCTGCCAGCACCCTATGTCAAAAAATTCAACACACCAGCAGTGTGTGAGGAGACCTGAAAGTGGCACATGGCAGAGTGTGGCGATGGAGACAGCAGCAATGGGAGGCCGTACAGGGACCCATGAGAGACTCTGGACTGGCAGCAGCATGAGGAGGCGGTATATAGGGGCCCATGGCAGATTAGGGGCCTGGCAGCAGCTATGGGAGGCCCGTAATCTGCCAGCACCCTATGTCAAAAAAATTCAACACACCAGCAGTGTGTGAGGAGACCTGAAAGTGGCACATGGCATGTGTGGCGATGGAGACAGCAGCAATGGGAGGCCGTACAGGGACCCATGACAGACTCTGGACCTGGCAGCAGCATGAGGAGGCGGTATATAGGGGCCTATGGCAGATTAGGGGCCTGGCAGCAGCTATAGGAGGCCCGTAATCTGCCAGCACCCTATGTCAAAAAATTCAACACACCAGCAGTGTGAGGAGACCTGAAAGTGGCACATGGCAGAGTGTGGCGATGGAGACAGCAGCAGCATGGGAGGCCGTACAGGGACCCATGAGAGACTCTGGACTTGGCAGCAGCATGAGGAGGCGGTATATAGGGGCCCATGGCAGATTAGGGGCCTGGCAGCAGCTATGGGAGGCCCGTAATCTGCCAGCACCCTATGTCAAAAAATTCACACACCAGCAGTGTGTGAGGAGACCTGAAAGTGGCACATGGCAGAGTGTGGCGATGGAGACAGCAGCAATGGGAGGCCGTACAGGGACCCATGAGACTCTGGACCTTGGCAGCAGCATGAGGAGGCGGTATATAGGGGCCTATGGCAGATTAGGGGCCTGGCAGCAGCTATGGGAGGCCCGTAATCTGCCAGCACCCTATGTCAAAAAATGGAACACACCAGCAGTGTGTGAGGAGACCTGAAAGTGGCACATGTTTGAGGCATGATTCATGGCGGATTTAGTCAGTTGTGTCAGGAACTGGTGGTTTGAAATCCAGACTAATCCACGCCTGATTCATTTTCACAAACGTGAGTCTCTCCACACTTTGGGTGGACAGTCGTGTCCTCCCGCGGAGTTACAATACCTCCTGCCGCACTAAACACGCGCTCCGATGCCACGCTACTGGCCGGGCATGACAGCCTTTCAAGGGCAAATTCAGCTAGTTGGGGCCAAAGGTCAAGTTTCGTTGCCCAGTAGTCAAGGGGATTGTCTACCTCGGTTGGCAGGGTGCTGTCCAAGTAGGCCCAAGCCTGTTGTTTGAGGTCCTGCTCCAGGCCACCTGATGCTGCTGCTGCTGCTGCTGGCTGGTTAGTAGTTTCCTCACTGCGCTGGTGAAGAAAGCTACTCATCATCGACTGCAGACTGAGGCAGCCGCTGCTGGTGGAGCTGCCACTGCTCCTACCACCCCACCCCTCCCCTGCTGCCATGGCAGCGGAACGCGAGCGCACAGGGCCCACAGTGTCTGAGGATGGACGTTGGCGCACAAAGGCAGAGACCAACTGACTACATAGGTGGTTTTTATAGTACGTTATTTTGGCCTCCCTCTCAGCAGGTGTGAAAAAGGCCACCATTTTTGAACGGTAGCGAGGGTCCAACAAGGTGGACAGCCAAAAGTCATCCCTCTGTCTGATGGTTATTATTCGGCTGTCGCTACGCAAGCAACCGAGCATGCTATGGGCCATTTGTGCCAAGGAATGCGAGGGACTCCCTGCCTCCATCTCCACAGCATACTGCCACGGTGCGTCTGGGTCCTCTGTCTCCTCCTCCTCCTCCTCTACCAGATGCTCCTGCTCCTCCACTCTCTGTCCGCTGAGTGGAAAAACCACCCATTTCACTCAATAATTCCTGAGCACAAATGTCCTCCTCTACCTCCTCCTCTTCTTCCTGTCCTGCCCCCACAGGGGTCATGTGGCGTTGAGATCTGTGCGCCACGTCTACCGCACCCTGACCAGCCATTGTTAACAGCATTTGTTCCAGGACGTGCAACAGAGGAATGACGTCGTTCATCCCATAGTCCTGCCGACTCACGAATAGCGTGGCCTCCTCAAAGGGCCTGAGCAAGCGGCAGGTGTCACGCATGAGCTGCCAATGGCTGACATCGAAGTTACACAGGGGAGTACCTTTATCCGCTTGTAACATCAGGAAATCGGTGATGGCCTTTCGCTGTTCGTAAAGGCGGTCTAACATGTGTAGGGTTGAATTCCACCTTGTTGCAACGTCGCAGATCAGGCGATGCTGTGGAATTCCGTTCTTCTGCCGCTGCAGCTCAAGGAGGGTGTGCTTTGCGGTGTAGGAATGGCTGAAATGCATGCAAAGTTTACGTGACATTTTAAGGATGTCTTGCAGTGGGATGGTGGATTTTAGGAACCGCTTGACAACCAGATTGAACACGTGAGCCATGCATGGCGCATGGCACAACCTTCCTTGACGCAGAGCAGACACACCATGTTCTTTCCGTTGTCGGTCAACATGGTTCCGATTTTCAGTTTGCGCGGAGACAGCCATCTGTCGATTTCTCTGTTCATTACACTCAGAAGTTCCTCCCCTGTGTGACTACGTTCGCCAAGGCATACCAGGTGCAGCACAGCGTGACACCGTTGCGCCCTGCACATGTGATATGCCGGTCGGGTAATGGGACTTGGCACGGGGGTGGCGGCTGAGGACACGGCGGAAGAAGAGGTGGTAGAGGCGGACATCTTTTGTGGACCAAGGACGTGCAAACGTGGAGGCAAAAGCGGCGTGACTGTCCAAGTTGCTGGTGCGGCTGTGTGACGGCACCACGTTCACCCAGTGGGCCGTAAATGACATGTACTGTCCCTGACCGTAGTTACAGCTCCACACGTCGGCGCTGCCGTGCACTTTGGCAGAGACCGACATGCTCAAAGACTGGCCCACCATCTCTTCTACATGTGAATGCAGGGCTGGCACTGCCTTTTTGGCGAAGAAATGACGGCTTGGCACTCTCCACCGCGGCGCGGCACAAGCCATCATTCTCGGAAAGGTGCTGAGTCCACCACTTGGAAAGGGAGGGACTGCAGCACCAGCAACTTGGACAGGAGGACGTTCAGCTTTTGCACCGTCGGGTGCGTGCTCGCAAACTGTTGTCTCTTGGAAACGGATTCCAAGAAAGACTGCTGACGGAATCCGTGAAGAGGAGTAGCAGGAGAAGGAGCATCTGAACGAGCGGAAGATGCCAACGAGCGACAACTCCCCTCAGCAGAGGTGTTGGAGCCTTGACTGGCTGATGGAGGGCGATTGACGTCGGGTGACGGAGCAAGTAACGGAGCGGGTGATGGAGCGGGGGCTGGGGCAGGCAGAACCGCCGTATCTTTATCACGGTTTTCCCAGGCCACCAAAATGGCGACGCTGCATATGCTGCCGCAACGCTGTAGTCCCAACATGGGCCCCCTGGCCACGCTTGACTTTCTGGCCACATAGTCGACATACGGCTACGTTTACTTCCTCGGGCGGCTTGACAAAAAAATTGCCACACCGCCGAGTAGGAAACTTTGCCCCCGATACTCCTCACTGGCTGACTGCTGCTTCCTCCGTGCACACCGGCACCACTACTGGCCGTGGTGGTAGGCTGCAGTGGAGCTGGTGCTCTACTCCGTGGCCGTTTGGCTCCACTGACACTGCTGCGACCCT